TTGTCACTGTATGAATTTTAATAATTTTCTGCTTCGCTAAACTGCATGCTGCATTTTCTAATCCACATGTAAAATACTGAGGATTGGCATCCGGGGGCTTACTGGATTTTCAATTAGCAAATAGGGCTCGTCCGGCTGGACCTGACAATGTTCCCAATGAAAACGAAATGTTGAGACACGTCTGGTTGTGACACGTGCTTCTGCTCGATGAAGTCCTGTTGCGCACCATATCTGCTCAGTATTCGTCTGTTTGTCGTTGGATTCCGCTGCCTCTGTTGGACAAGAACCAGCAGTCCATCTTGGTGTTGCTGCTTTTGTTGTCACCCTATTTTGTGACCTGTGGGACCTCGCACAAAAAGCCGTTTGGTGCCAAAAGTCAAAGGCCAGTAGAAGTAGCGACTCGATTTTTTAAGAATTTGGTTCAGAAAGTGTGGCGCAGATCGGCGTGGAATCAGCGATTCGGTATACCAGTTGCATTCCGTCGGGGTGTGCATCAAAGTTACAACCTCACGTTTGAAATAATGTTAGTTCTGCAGAGCTGAGAAAGTAACGAATTTCAGTTTTCGGCGACCCTCATTCACCAGATGATCGGCTTGTTGTGTCTGCGGAGTTTCATAATTGGCCGTGCGTATGCTGTTGTAAAAGACCATTTGCGTTTCTGACCTCTTGCCAAAAAAGCATGATAGCATGACTCTCTTATATGCGCTCCTATCTATTTTGTTCGATTTCGCTCACAAATATCCGATCTGTTGGCCTATCTGTTTGAAAATTATGTAGCCTGAGAGCTGAATGTTCTTTTTTTTAGAAGACTTGGAAAAAGCATGGGCGCGTGTGAAAATTTTCCAGCACCCAAATGGTGCCTAATTGTAGATTCGACGCAGCCCCTTACTTTTGGGTGATTATACTCTATGCAGTATTTAATAAGATTGTTTGAAAATCAAAAATATTCTAATGAATCAGACAAGTTTCAGAGCTTTTAAAGGTGAAATGGTGAAGTTACAGGAGGAAATTTGTTAACACCCCAAATGAATTACAAGATTTAGCTATGCAAAACTACTTACCTTTTTATATGTGGCTTTTCCCCAGCCTCTTTTCAACTCTGTCCGGGCCACACCGCACTTATCGGATCTAGGATAGCTTTTGTGAAGGTGTAAACTAAACTGAAACATGATGAGTGAAAAAATCCAACGCAAAACTTCGAAATGAGATTTAATAGGTATGCGGGGAAAGTATCTTATTTTCGTTGCCACTGTTTAAAGTGGATTTGTTCAGTTCTGCTAGGAAAGTTGAGCAGTTTTTCCCGCACAGCTGCATGCAACCTGTTTAAAATGCGATTTATTTCAGCTGCTGGGCATCATCACTGAGGTTTACGTTTCATTAGGTGGAACTAACACTTTCTCAACTCACATCACCCTCATCCGATTACGATATCCCTTCTCGTTGAGTGCTTTCCGCCCATTTGTAAACAGTGGTGCTGCCCGAAACATCCGCTCGGTAGAACAAACAATCTTCATATTTCACTCTCTACGACGAATAGAAGCATGCCACATTGACCAAATTTTTTTAATAGCAACCACTTGTTGATGGTTCTTTCGCCGACAGGTACCCAGAAGAAGCTGATGGTTTCCTTCCCAACAGTTACTCAGAAGAATCTAGTAGTTTTCTCTCTGAAAGTTGCTCCTTGGCACGACAAAATCATTGAACCAAAAAAGACTGGTTTTCCCAGTGATGCATCTGAACCATAAACTTAACAGCGGCACGTTTTCTACGTACCAGACTCTTAAATTTGTTCCATTTCAGAGCTGGGATAATTTTGGCGCGCGAAGGGCTTGAATACTTATCAGGTGCCTTGTCATTATTGGTGCTGTGGTAACAATCTTCGCACGGGCTACCCCCAACTGAGGCCTTTCTCACTAGGCGGAGGGCGTTTTTGAGTCCAGTTGTTGTCCTATTAACATTTTAAACTGCCTTCGCCTTCCTCAGCTCAATTTGCCTTCGAATGTTGCTAAATGAATCAATGTTAATTAGTGCCTTAACGAGGTTGTTTTTGGATTACCAAAAGCAGCAGCTTGCTCGCTCGCTTCGGGATGCTTCGATTCCTATTCTCCTTCTTCTCCCAAATTAAACTCTTGCTTAAAAAGCTCTTTTTATTTTCCGGGCAGATGAAGTAAAGATAAAAAAATTTGCTAGTTGCTTGAAACAGTACTAGTTTTCCACTGATTCAAATTCAGAACGTTCCTCGGTGATGTTATAGTAAACAACCGCGTCATCGACTTCGGTCTTGGTTTCTTCGCAGTTACAAGAAACCATATATTCGAGTTAGCAAATCGTTCTAGCGTGTCAGTGACCTCACAACTTTTCTTCTGATACACTTTTTCTGTAGTCTTAAGGTTATTGCAAAAGGAGGTGTTAAAAAGTAGGAAAATGAAGCTGGCAGTTAAACCTCTTTGTCTTGCTCCAGTTGCTCTTCGATTCCATTTGATAAACAAACGTCCCGTTTCGTGACTCGAGTTCCTTCTCCGTTATATTATACAGTGATGTGATCAGAAATGAAATAAAATTACTTTGTGAGCCACTGTATTGTTGGCAGCAGCTTGGAGCTGCTACCGATCCCTTTCCCGGAGCCCCGGCACATTATGCGTGCTGTACGGTAACAGCTTGAAATTGCAGCCAGACTTGATCTGCCTCACCTTCTGGTCTGTTTCTGTTTTTTTTTTTAAATAAAGAATTTGTTGATCCGGGTCGAAATCGCGCCTGCACAAAGAAGTGCACCCATCTAGCGGCATAGGCATTTTCGTCTCTCGACGCGTTACAGTTAAAATTATTACTAATAGTAAATAATGAAGTATCACATTTTCGTAAGTCTCAGGAAAAAGCGTCTTAAAATATTGACAATTTTTGATGAGTGGACAGAAATTTTTAATTATTTTCTAAAAAGATACGAATACCTTGCTCGTTACCCATCGATCTGTCCCGCTAACAGTAATATTATTTTTCAGTGACACCTTAATTAACCATCATAATAACTGTCAGTACCATACAATTACTGAAAGCTCTGCTCCCCAGCACCAGTAATGATGATGTTCAGATTGAGCAGTTCACTGGGTGTATGTATATGGTGTCGGTTGCTTCAAGCATTGAAAAAGCAGCTTTGGGCTGGCCTCATTCAAAGCTATCCATCGAAATATCCATGAGGCTCATATATCGCTTGCCGCTGCAAAAAAAAATTAGCTGTAATCGCTGTTCTCAGGGCAAACTACTCCCCGGAGCACATTCAATCTTCGCCTCTTTACATGCCCTTATTCGATGTTGCTTTTTTTTCTCTGGAAAATTGCGCCAATTTTTCCGATCCCAAATTGTGTTGTGAAGAAAATGAGTACTCTTTTCTGAGGTACCATCGTTTTGTCATAATTAACTAGCGGAAAAATATGAGTTGTAATTAGCAGGAAGGGACGATTAAGGGCAGGCTGATATAGGTGCT